GGTCAGTTATGTCTCTCCTTAATGATCTGGGTGGCTGAGAGATGAATGCAGTTGCTTGAGGGTGGTGGTGTTTTATGATGTCATTATCTTATTGGCAGTTGTCAGGGGAGGGAACATGCATGGATCATTGTGCAAGATTTTACTGTGAAAGTAAAATCTTGATATGCAGCAGTTTAAGAGAAAACATAGAAGTATTTGCAAAGTAGGTAAAGCAAAAATATCATTTGATGCATAATACATGTATGTTTGAAATATTTTGCATCAAAACATTCATTCATTCACCTCCATTAACCGCATTGCTGTGGATCCAGAGCCATTGGCATGAGGCAGTAATATACCCTAGATGGGACACCAGTCCATCACTTTACTATGCACTATGTACACACACTATGCACTATACACACACACATTCACACCTATGTGCAATTTAGCATGGTCAATCCATCTACTGGTTTTGTGAGGTGGTATGAATGTAGACACAAAGAGAGCGTGCAAAACTTCACACAGATGCTAACCTGAGCTCAGGAACGAACCTGTGAGGAGTTGTATCAAAAACACTGCAACCAAAAATGTATGACAATAAAATACAATATGTTGTACTTTTGTTTAAGGTGTTTAAACAATCTGAAACTGACGAGTAAGGGGGACACGTGTTACAGTTCATGAAGGTAAACTTAATGATAGAAATCTAGTGGATGGCAAGAAACCTATTGCTAGGCATCCTGCAAAAACCCCAATTGTAGTCTGCACTAAATCATAAAGGGCCATTTAGTTCTACACGCTCTTTGATTTCTATAGTTTCCCTATGCAACAAATTGTAACCTTTGTGCTGACTACAACATAACATCATTAAACAAGATTATTCATTTCACAGTATTGCACATGTATATAAATACCAAGGATATTGCACATTTGCATGTACAAATAGAACTCTAAGATATGTACGTACATACAGATCTATTTTATTGTTTCTATTATTTCTGTCATTTCTATCATTTCTATTATTTCTGTCATTTCTGTTATTTCTATTGTATAGGTATTTGTGGAAATTCTTTTCCTTTCCTTGATGTTACTACTCCTACTTGTGCTGCTGTGTCAACTTGAATTTCCCATATGGGGGATCAATAAAACATACATCTTATCTTATGTTATCTTATCTTATACTGATAAGTATAATGCATATTAAAAGACATTATTGGTCATGTGAAGTCTTTTACACTGTTGTCAAATATCCAGTAACACAAGTTATGTTTTTTGCCTCACGCCGGACAGAAATGAGTCAGTAAACCCATGTGCATCTCCATTTCCTCCCTGATACAGTGGTACTTGAAAGTTTGTGAACCCTTTAGAATTTTGTTTATGTATCTGCATAATATTAACTAAAATGACATCAGATTTTCACAGCAGTCCTAAAACAAGACAAAGAGAACAAAATTAAACAAATGAAACAAAAATATTTCCTCCCAGTCCAAAGACATGCATGGTATGAATGGTGTGTGAGTGCGTATGTGATTGTGCCCTGCGATGGACTGGCACCCTGTCCAGGGTGTACCCTGCCTTGTGCCCGATGATTCCTGGGATAGGCTCCAGGTAAGCGGTAGAAGATGGATGGAGATATATATATATACTTATTGAGGAAAATGATCCAATATTAAATGTGCACTTATATAGCGCTTTTATCCAAAGCGCTTTACACTGTGTCTCATTCACCCATTCACACACACACACCAATGGTAGCAGAGCTGCCATGCAAGGCGCTAGCTTGCCATTGGGAGCAACTTGGGGTTCAGTGTCTTGACCAAGGACACTTCGGCATGTGGAGTCACCAGGGCCAGGAATCGAACCGCCAACCCTACGATTAGTGGACAACCCGCTCTACCAACTGCGCCACACCGACCCAATATTACATATCTATGAGCGGCAAAATTATGTGAAACTTTCTGATAAACGTTGATTAGTCCTGCACATTGACTTGGAGGAATTTTAGCGCATTCCTCAGTATAGAACTGCTTCACTCTGGGATTTTGGTGGGTTTCCTCACATCAACGGCTTGATTCAGGTCCTTCCACAACATCAGGACTTTACTTTGAACATTCCAAAACATTAACTTTATTCTACTTTAGCCACTCTTTGGAAGAGTGCTAAACTCTTTGTGTGCTTAGGGTGGTTGTTTTGCTGCATGAACCAATTTCTCTTGAGATTCAGTTCACAGATAGATGTCCTGACATTTTCCTTTAGAATTTGCTGGTAAAATTCGGAATTCATTCTTCCATCAATGATGGCAAGCTGTCCTACCCCAGATGCAGCAAAACAGGCCCAACCATGATACTACCACCAGCATGTTTCAAAGATGGGACAAGGTTCTTAAGCTGGACTGCAGTATTTTACTTGATGTTTACTACAAACACAATGCTCATCATTTAAACCAAAAAGTTATATTTTGGTCTCATCCATCAACAAAACATTGTTCCATTAGCCTTTCTGGCTTGCCCACATGATCTTTAGCAAACTGCACAATGGCAGCAATATTCTTTTTGGAGAGCAGTGACTTTCTCCATTCTCACTTTGTTGTTCAGTGTTCTCCTGATGGTGGACTCATGAACATTAACATTAGCCAATGTGAGAGAGGTCTTTAATTGTTTCAGTGTTACCCTGTATTCCTTTCAGAGATTCTGCTAAGAAATTTTGTGCCAGCCGATGGGTCATCTCAGTCCAGTGTTACTTTGCACTGTAACATTTTGGACTATGCATAGTATATGCAATTGTGTGTCCATGGGGGCATGATCAAGCGTCAGCTATTAGCCCAAGTTTACTTGTGTGTGTCTGTTTGTGCTTCCAGACCCTCCCGTAACAAGCACAAGCGAAAGAGAGAGAGTGAGAGAGGGAGCCAACGAGAACAGAGACATGTGTATGTGTGTGTTGTTGAATGGGTTCTCTAAATATGGAGAGAAACAGGCAAAAACAAAAGTTTCACAGGCAGAGAACTTTTTATTTTCACAGGTGTGTAACTGTGAATGTATTTTGTCTAATGCTTTGTGTCCAACATCCAGTTTCATTTTACCAGAATTTTTATTTTATTTTATTGGACATTTTGTATTTTTACCATCAAAAAACGCCATTTTACCAGCTAACCGAAACTGTCGTTCCTTGGTGACCTTGTGGACTATTACATGTGATGCTCTTAGAGTGATCTTTGTTGGCTGACTATTCCTGGGGGTGGGGACTGGGGTTAACAATAGTCTTGAATTTCCTCCATTTGTACACAATCTGTCTGACTTTGGATTGATCCAAACTCTTTAGAGATCCTCAGAAATCTCCTTGGTTCATACGATGATACACTTCCACAAACATGTTGTGAAGATCAGACTTTGAAAGATCACTGTACTTTAAATAAAACAGAGTGCACACTCACACCTGGCTCTAATTTCACCTTCAAATTAACCGCTAATCTTGGAGGTTCACATACTTTTGCCACTCTCAGATGTTATGTTGGACCATTTTCCTTAATAAATAAATGAACAAGTACAATATCGTTATTTCATTTGAGTTCTCTTTGTCTAATTTTAGGACTTGTGTAAAAATCTGATGATGTTTTAGGTCATATTTATGCAGAAATATCTGGAAATTCTAAAAGGTTTCAAGCACCCTTTCCAAGCACCACTGTCAAAGCAAGTTGTTTCAAAGCTGCTGGGCTGTTTATGAACTCTTCACAAACAGAACATGTTGCATTTTATAAGAACCTTGATACAAATGACATATCCCATTTTTATGACAGTCAAACACAAACCAAAATAATATTTTATATTTCACATGAATCAAATAGATGTATCTGCAATACCGCGCATCCCTGTTCCCAAATGCATTTCTATTTCAGCAAATCGTTGCACATGAATATAAATAACAAATGACAAAACACAACTTCAGTGACATTTGTTTTTTGACAGTGAAACACATTTGTGATGTCTTTTACTGATAGATCGTGACACACACACACACACACACATTACAATAAATAATTGTAAGACAAATCTGTCTCCATAGAGGTAGAGGATGGATAGGTAGGTGGGCTTACCGAGAACGTAGAGCTTGTTGCCATGCAGGAAGGAGAAGGCTCCATAGCGTGGAGTGGGCATGGAGGCCAGGGACAGCCACTGATCCTTAACAGGCTCATAGACTCTCACCAGTGCCTGCGGACTGGTATCAGAACCCATACCTCCCAACGCGTACACCTTTCCATCTGTGAGAGAGAGAGAGAGAATTATTAGTTTTGCTACACTTTCCTGAATGCCATTTTCCCCCTGCTGATAAACAAAAAATGTTAGATGACAGATTGAATATGAGTCACTCAATGCACTACAATCAGTGTTTTGATGCCTTTCAATGGAGATATTTCTCCTTCTGATGATAAAATTCTATACTCAGTATTTATTCTACTCTGTTGATAAAAATGGAGTATGATTAAGTATTTTATTTTTTTCAATGGCTAACACTGAGAATTATAATGTGGAATATATCAGTGTCAGCTATCCTGAATAATGCAATTAGGCAGTCCTTCCACTGCCATAATTATTAATATACCTAATTAATGCTACACCCAGACTGTAATCCTGATGGCATGGACTGACTTATTTGACCTGTTCGCATTTTTTCGCTTTTTTTTTTTAACCAAGTGATTGGCAAATCATTCCTAGAAATTATGTTTGGTCAATCATGGGTTATAAATTATGAAGCCACTAGTCTTGCAAAGCTACAGGTCATAATCTGCCTCGTTCCAATCAGGCTTCTGTAAATAAAACCAATGTGAACCAGAAAGCAATGTAGATGCACTGAAAAATGGAGAAGAAGTGGCCAGGTAAAACCGAGAAGGTGAAAGAAAAAAACCCCACTTACACACACATTCAATTTAGTGATGCTCATCAGCCTTTAACACATGTCTTTGGACTGAGAGAGGAAACCGGAGTACCTGGGGGAAACCCCCAAAGCATGGGGAGAACAGCACAGGGTGGAGGCGGGAATCGAATCCCCAATCCCAGATGTGTGAGGCAAATGTGCTAACCACTAAGCCACCACACCCCCTACAAAAGTTCTATAATTTGACGAAATTTATTGTTTATTTTTGCACCGTGAACAGAATTACTTTTGTACTAAATGTCAGCACTCTTGGAACACTTGTTTTGGAACACCGCTTGTCTGATCAGATTTATGTAGCAGAATTAACTTTAGAATATTAAAAGAACATTATATGAGACTATGTTAACCTACTTGTCTTAATGCAACATGACAAAGTGAAAAGCCCAAAAAGAACAGCAGAATATACTAGAACTACAAGAACACAGCAAGATACTGCATTACCACATACTTTCCTCTATCTCTCCCTCACTCTTTCACACTTGAACACACATGTACTAATGCAGCAACAGCAGTTATTGCTGACTCAGCTGTGTGCTCTGTGCTGTGGATAGAGGTGTAATCGCAAATCAGCAGGCAATAAATGCGCAAAATAGAAATGCTTGGAGACGTACATGTGGTGAGAGCACAGAGACCAACCATTCGACGTGCGCTAATAAAACACTTCTATCGGTCTCTCAGCTGAAAGCAGACTTCATCCAGTGTTGGAATTTTTTTACTGTCATAGAACCATGGTACAGCAATAAAAGCATGCCCTTTATGTATATTAGAAATGTGAACCGAATATGAATACACTGTTAATAATGAACAGATATAACGTGTTATAAACAGATACAAATCGGAGACATACTATTGATTTTTTCCAGCATGACAGGAAGGTTTGCAGCGCATCTGGTTGAAACTGGAGTTGTGTATTTAGACTTTAAATTAGGCTACTAGTTTGGCTACCCTCTACATTTGTTATATAATATCATAGCAGGTACAAACAAAAATAATAAAAATGAAAAAATTTATAGTAGTAGTTGCACAAAGGCAAAATTCACAGACCATGCTGAAAGTGCTGCCATTTCTACCTGTTTCTTTTTTTTTTTTCATTCACATTAGGTTTAAATCTGACTACAAATAAAGATAGTGGCATTGTGCTACACCCACTAATGTACAGTATATACACCTGACAGAAGTTAATGTGATTTTTTTTACAACAGCCTTAACTGCTCCAAGTATCACACTTTCAGTCATGCATTTTAGTAACAAGCAATTACAAGCTCTATCAATATGAGATATTTAACTAAGTGTACTGTATGTATATATAGGCTGAAGTTCATGGACAGGATTAATATCAGCCACTGTCCTGTAGCTTACTGAATCGTGTAGTCTCAGTGGTCATGTGGGAGTTTTTTTCCATTAAATACATGGTTGAACGACTCAGATACGGTAGGACGAAGTGACTGGAGACCAAAACACACTAATAAAACACCTCTGTCAGCCACAAAACACTCCTGTGAGCTGAAGCAACACTTCAGTTATGGATTTGTTCGGGATCTTTTTCAGTTGTGACCGCAGAAAGGGTGTTCTGTGTAATATCTAACACAGACCTCAGTGGTCTAGAATGTGTTAGTGTAGTAACATGTAAAGTGAATGTACCAAAAGTAGTGGTTTATATGTCAATGTTCGATGTCCTTATACCAGTATTATTATTTTAAGCCTTTGCATTTCTAATGTAGGGATTAGTGTTGCTGCCTCACAGTTCCAGGGTCTCCAGTTTGATTCTGAGCTGTTACTGTCTGTGTGAAGTTTCTCCCCATGTCTGTGTGGGTTTCCTCCATGTTGTCCAGTTTTCTTCCACCAAACAAAAACATGGTGGTAGGTTCTGGCTATGCTAAACTTCCCCTTAGGTTTAAATGAGCATGTGAGTGTGTGTGTTCCTGCAGCTGGGTATGTATTTCAGCTTTATGTTCAGTGTTCCTGAGATAGGCTCCAAATCCACTGCAAACCTCTCCAGTATGATAGTATTGTGATAAATAATTCTAAATCTTTATCTGCTTGTAGGTTTTAAAAATATTTTTGTGTACCACTTCACAAAAACTCAACACCAGCTCCATAACTGTGAAAGACCAGCAGCATCTCTACTTTCTGCAAAGGCTGAAGAAAGCTCATCTCCCACCTGCCATCCTCACAACATTCTACAGAGGAGCTATTGAGAGCATCCTGAGCAGATGAATCACTGTCTGGTTCAGAAATTGGACCTCATCAGATCACAAGACCCTGCAGTGGATAGTGAAGGCAGATGAGAAGATCATTGGGGTCTCTCTTCCCTCCATTATAGACATTTACACCACACGCTGCATCCACATAGCCACCAGAATTGTAGAGGACCCTGCGCACAAATCACACACACACTCTTCATCTGGGAAAAGGTACCGAAGCATTCGGGCCCTTATGGCCAGACTGCGTAACAGCTTCTTCCACCAAGCCATCAGACTCCTCAATACTCACAGACTGGACTGACACACACACATACACGCAATCTGAAATGAACACCACCTCACTCCCATTGCAATATTTGCACATTCCTGCATTGACATTTTTGCTGCTACTGTATTTATAAAAATATAGTATTTAATTTCTTGTCACTATTTTACACTTTACCTGTCTGCTACCACAATAACTGCTATGTCCATATTTGGTATAAGCTAACCTGCTGAAGACTAAGTCATATTATCTTCAGATTTATACCATTTTAAAATATTTTTTATATTGTTACTCTTTGGCACCTATCTTCTGCACGAACTATTGTATCAGACACTTCCACAATAAAACTGTGTACTGGTCAGTGCTACACTCACTATGTTTACATGGACAATAATAATTAAATATCAACCCGATTAAGACAATACTCTGATTATGAAACTACCATGTAAACAGCAATTTTTTTATTACCTTAATCCGACTAAAGTCATACTCGGAGTAAACACAAATCGAATTAAGACGTGTGGAGTATTTCTATTTTAGTCGTATTATGGAAGAGCATTATAGACATGTACACATCTTAATCACACTATTTACCTCCTGTGGGGGCAAACAAGAGAGCACGGCTGCTTCCAAAACCGCCTACTTACCTACTACATAGTAGGTGAGATATATGCATTTCAATATACTATATAGCAGGTAAGTATGCACTTTGGGATGCAGTCCATGGTTTCAAGCAGTCGTCTATTTGCATGTATAGCATGATATATAATTAATCGCACTTGAAGCTTTCGTAAAATTTTAAAATGAAAAATCAAAACTGTATACGGTACCATAACATAGACGAACTTTATGTTAATACGTGAAATTCGGGAGGGAACATCAGACAGTGTGGCGTGGGGACATGATGATGTGTGCCGTTAATCGAACTGTAAAACCTGAACATGAAAGGAATCTTCTAAATGCAACTCATGTAAACACCTAAATCGTCACATACTGAAGCACCATGGTCCTGAAGTAACGTTGTTTCATATCATTGTGCACTGTACCAGCTGTATGTGGTTGAAATGACAATAAAGCCACTTGAACTTGAACATTGTATTCGCATGTAAACAACATATTATTGTTTTGCACACTTTTTGTGGCATTATTTTTACTTTTAGGAAAAATTATGCTAGTGAATACATTCTTTTGTACAGGAAAGCTGATCAGTGAGATTTCTGATGAGTATGAGTGTGTATTGTCCCTCATGTTTCAAGGGAAATGTTAACTTTAAAAGATGAATTTTAAAATGCTTGCCTTGACCCCTTTATGAAATAATACGACTGTGATATGTTTACAAATGTCAAATGGTTATTAATGAAATGAAGATCAAAACATGCTTCCCTCAAAAAACGGTCACAGAGTCTCACAGACCAGAAAGCTAGTTGTTTTTACATATATAGAACTGAGAAAAGTGAATATTATTGCGTTGCATATTAACAGTTGCTTCATTTATCATGCATCATATGACTGTCTGATCTATCAGTATTAGAAATGCAACTAGACAAATGGTTAGGTTTAAGGCTGGGGACTAGGTTAAAAAGACAATACATTGTGTGATTGCATGGGCATGTTAAAATCTAGGGATTTAAAAAAGAAAAAGAAAAAAAAGAGCAATATTTATGTGCACATGCAACTGAGACAAAATATAAAAAATTAAAAATAAGTCTGTACATAAATTAATTCTCTACACCTGTGCTTTCTTATAACATACAGATCAACCCCAAAATCAATCCACTCTAATACACTGGAGCTAAACCATCAGTCAGTGAGTCTTGCCATCCTAGGCAAAGCCATTGGGCTTATTTTTTCCCATTTATTTTTACCCCATTTTGTCCCAAATCACACCTACTGGCTAGCTCTTCCCATCAGACAACTAAGGGATAGTGAAGGCTAGCACATACTTCCTCTGCGACACATGTCAGTCAGCACATCTTTTCTAAATGCTGCCCATGCCATGTCACAGGGCAGCTGAACACACATGGAGGTTAGTGCTAACTGCCCTCTTCCATGTACATCATGTCATAGATAGCCATGATGGACTAATGTCACTCTGACTCACAGAAGAGTAATGCTTTCCCTTCCTCTACATCAAATTAAATTCATGGTGTACTAAAAGTATCTAGCTTGTAAATCTAAAACCCCTTCTTTAATTAGGGGCACTTTTCTTTCCCAAGATCCCAAGATAACACAAAATGCTACAGTATTGAATAACTTAGAAAAAATGTTGCTTCACATTTTACTATGATTATGAACCATATACAGTGGTGTGAAAAAGTGTTTGCCCCCTTCCTCATTTCCTGTTCCTTTGCATGTTTGTCACACTTAAGTGTTTCGGAACATCAAACCAATTTAAACAATAGTCAAGGACAACACAAGTAAACACAAAATGCAATTTGTAAATGAAGGTGTTTATTATTAAAGGTGAAAAAAAATCCAAACCATCATGGCCCTGTGTGAAAAAGTGATTGCCCCCTTTGTTAAAACATACTATAACTGTGGTTGTCCACACCTGAGTTCAATATCTTCGCTACACCCAGGCCTGATTATTGCCACACCTGTTCACAATCAAGGCATCACTTAAATAGGAGCTGCTTGACACAGTAAGGTCCACCAGAAGATCCTTAAAAGCTACACATCATGCCGAGACCCAA